CAATACGGTGCGGATTAATTAATAACTTCAGCAAGAAGCACAAAATTTGGTTTGTAAATAAAATTCAAAAAAAATATTTGAGACTTTTTTTTTTTAAATTTAAGTTAATATAAACTTGACTTTCTTTCTCTTGTAGAACAGTTGTTTGAATATTATATATCTAAAATGCATTGGTTTTTAATCTAAATGTAATAAATATTATTTATTTATTTATTTCATCGACAAACAATGCAGTCGATGTAAAATATGTACATAAAAAAAATCAATTCAATGGAGAACTTAAACTAAATGAAACTAAAGAAATCAAAAAGCCTATAAAGATGACCAAAATATCTAATAATTATATAGAGGAATTGTAGTTTTTTAATTGCATGCATTAGTTTAAAAATCTATGTGTTGTAATAAGAATATTTTTCAGCCTGTGCTTCTTCAATAGAAGGAGGTATTATTTTGATAATTAAAAGCCTTTCGAGCGCTCCTTTTAATCCTTTAATGTAAAAATTCACTGATTGACTTAAGCTGATCTTTGAAAAGAGCAATGTTTGTGAATTTATTAATTATGATTTGACATTAGAAAGGAAATTTTCTTGTTCATTTTGGCTTTATCATAACGCCACACGTTAGCGAAATCAGAAACAGGTATAGGGCTAATATTCAGATTTTCCAATTAACCTACAAAAATGGTAGAAATAGTTAGGCTGCAAGAATGGATTGATTGTCGAGATTATGAAAGATTATCTCTCATCGAAATAAAGGTAGCTTAAAGGCATAAAACTATAGAAATGGGAAGTATAATCAAATAAATGGCTTATTAGATCTTCTCTTTTGATCTAAAATTTATGAAAAGATTTCTCCATCCTTAGCTTTAAATGTCAAGCTAAAACAAACTTTTAAGCTGTACTTTTAAAATCTTTAAAAAATGAGTACTGTAAGCATGGAGAAAAAAACAAAAATCAGTAACAAATCCATTGTGGTATATAGTATATACACATATCGTCAAGTCTGGCTGGCCACTGTGCGCTGTTTCCTTTTTTGTGTTTAATGGTTTTTTACCATGACATACGTGGCTGGATATTAAAAATATAAAAAGAGAGAGCTCGTTGACGTCGTAGTCGTCGTCGTCGTCGTGGTTGTTGGCGTCGTCATCATCCTCAGCGTCTCGAGCGTCGTTTCTGAGCTCCTCAGCTGCGCGGCGTCTGCGTCGACGTTTTGGGCAAATGGCCCGAGGCACGACAGCAAAATCTTTATTAGCATATTCGGCAGTAGGCATAAAAATTTATTAAAGATGAAAAGCGTGGCGGCGCCAAATGAAAAGCGCTTTGGACTTTCTCTTTTCAGCTCCGGCTCCCCCCTCTACCCCACCCCCCATTAGCGGTAGTTACATATGTATATACACTCCTATGTGTAGTGGTTAGGGTTACGGATATATAGTATAGTATGTTCTTACACGGAGCTTAAGTATTGATTTGAAAGTTTGGCTTTTTATTGGCACTCGTATTTTTTTTGTTGCCATTCCCGTTTCGTTATTGCTGTTGCGCATTAGTTTTAAAACTTGCGGGCCATTTGGGCTTATAGTCATTATATATCTATGTTTTTTCAGCTTCATGTGGTCCTAGGATTTTTATGATGTTAAACTTAATTTTATACAAATGACCTAAGGTCATATCACCATTTATATCCGTCAATCCCTTTTCGGTATAAGTTTTGTATATTGCTGTTTTGTGTTTTTCTACAATTTTTTTTTGGCATCGTCGTCTTTGTTGTTGTTGTTGTGCGTGTGTGTAATACTTTTGTTGTTGTTGGCATAACATTTAAGGGCATTTTTATGTTCGCTTGAAGCGCAAACGACGCAAGCAAAGCGTCTAAAGGCAAGAGGCAGACCCTAAAAGCCTTTAGCTAAATATCTTGAAGAGACAGACCGCCACAACAACAACAACAACAGAAGCAGAAGCAACAATAACAAATAACAGCAACCACCGGCATACAAACACACACACGCACACACATGCCGAAATACAAATATAGCGATACACAACGCGCCTTGTGCATATTTATATGGCAGCCATATAGTCGTATGTAGAAATACCATGAAACTTCTTGAAAGAGAATTCCCGGGGTATCCATAATAATATGCCTATACCAGGGCTGGCAAGTGCGATTTTCTTAGCCTTGATAACACTTCAGAGCTAAGTGTATGTATTGCCAGCAATAAGAACGCATTATGCTTATAATCAGCAATACGATTTTTGTTTTCATGCTTCTTAAAAGTTCACGAAATAGCACAGGCCCTTTAAGATTTAATTTTGATGATATTATATATTTTTCTTCTGCTGTAAAACAAATGCGTGTATTGCAAGCAATAAGAACCTTTTATTTATGAAAATTCATTCTACCATCTTAATACATTATTTATAAGGAGTTTTTCGGATAATGCAGTTTTTTTATGCTTTAGTCTGGATTATATTCTTAGCACTTTACATGACTCGAACTCTATTCTTCCGATTCCCGAACGCTTTACACATTTCTAGTGTTATGAAAAAATTAATAGATTATTTGTTTTTGATAAGTAAGTAATCTTAAAAAGTTTTTTTTTAAATTCGTTAAATTGTTCACATCTTTCAGATGTCTTAATAGTCCAACTACATACCCAGCGTTTTGGATAGTTAGTACTCTATTCTTCCAGTAATCTAGGAAAGTATTCATACTTTAACTTGGTCAATTGTTTTCGATTTGATATTTGTTAGGAAGTATGTTAGAAATAAACGCGTGACCATAAACTGCCATTATTTCATTTAATTTAAAAATTTGTCGCTCTTCGATATTTTCTTCAGCCTGAAAGTATGCAATGAAAATGAGAGCTACTCGTAATGTAAACAGCTTTTCAATTACGTTTGTTTCTCTTATGTGTTTAAAGCCTTTATTTGTCTTTCATTCGTGAAAATACTGTTCGTGGCCATACATTATATAGAGCATTTAAAATTGTTTTCTTCCATACTTCGTACATCGACAGTGCTATTTAAATAAATACTCGCACATTTCCATAAAAACAATTGCATTGCAATTTAATAGGCGGAATGCAGTGAAGAAAAACTGAATATTCATTATATAGGGTTCAGATCGTACGCACAGCATACATATATGTAAATAAACAAATATATATATGTGGTGTTGTTTGTGCACGCAGACAGACAAATGGACCAGCGGACAGACGGTGGGACAGTCAGTTGGTTTATAAAAAGTCTTGGCTAAGCCACATGCGAAAATGAAAGGAAAAAAGGCAGCAGGCAGCAGCCACATAACCATGGCCATAGTCCACATTGCTCACAGTCCATAGCCATAGCTGTAGCCGGAGTCGTTGCCGTGTTGTTGCCGTAGCGCTGAAGCGTGGCCGGAGCATAAAGAAAGCAAAGTTGAACATGAGTCAAAGTATTTCCTGGTTATTTTTGCTGTTAAAAGCCAGAGCCCCCAAAGCAATTGAGTTATATTTGATGCATATCAGATGCTTTAGTCGATGCTTGTCATTGCGTTGTGGCACAAACACACAAACACAGACTCATACATAAAGTATTTGTGTATGTGCTGGAAGCGAAACAAAAACAGACAAACAAAGCAATGAAGACAAAGTCGCATGTAAATTGTCTCAGGGGCTATGTCAAATAAAAGCGCCACTCGCCGTTGGTCATTCATTGGCCAATGGTGGCGGGGTGAGGGGGGTTTGTTCGGTTGCTGGGTTGCTGGGTGGGTTACCAGCATTGTATAGTGTATGCTCTTTGGATTGCTGCTTTGTTGCATTTTTGTTTCGATATGAAAGCGCTTGTAAGTCAATTACACGAGCTGCGTGCAAGGATAGGCGCTTTATTGTGTTACTTTTTCGCATGAAAAGGGAAAGGAAAAGTAGCAGGAAGTAAGAAGGCGTCCTCAACAACAACAAGAAAACTATTGGCCAGTTTATTCATTCAAGTGGTGCTAGGGGCTATTTTTGGATATGATATTGGCGTAAACGTAAATGAACGCTTATGTACTCGTATTGCAATATAAGCTTTGGCAGCTTCATTGAGTTTGCAAGTTGGACTTCAGACTTTTCCCTTCCATCTTACTTCAGCAAAATATTTGCCGTCTTTAACAGTTTAGTCATTATTTTCAGCTATTATGTCGACTTACCTACGTTGAAAGTTAGTTTTATGCTAGCCTTAAAAGCCAAGCTTGAAGCGAACAAGCTCAACAAAATTCGACTCAGAGCCAATTATGGACAAAATGTATTCATAAAGAAAAGGTGGAGCTAAGATCAACAAATACAAAAATTAGTTGTCAAAAGTAAACTTTTTCCTTCTGCAATGTTTCGTTATTTCATTGTGAAATAATTTTTTTTAGTTGAACAATAATGGAATAATAATCCTATTTGTTTTTTCTTTATTCTTTTGCCAATTAGTTTCAGTGTGTTTTTTTTTTATTTATTCTCTGCCAAGTTTGCGTTATTATGCCTGCGAAGGAAACGGTAAAGTGCATAAATGGAAGGAAGAAAAAATTAAGATTAATTTACTTAATCTCCGACCCATTAACGGAAGATTTAATAGCCAGTCTGGTCAGCTATGCTGCGTAAACAGGTGTGCAAAAAACCTGATAATTTAAAGAAGTGATTTTAAAAATATTCTGCAAAGCATTGGTCATTAAATAGGCTTCTTAAAGCAAGCCCTGTTGATTAAAGAATTGCTCATTTATTCGACTGCTGATATTTTTTGAGTCAATCATTCACTGAATAATCGAATATTATTCAAAACTATTCCTTTGTTTTCAACTTATTTGATAAGCTTATTCGTTGATTGTTTGGTCCAGCTTTGCATTGACGATTAATCGGCCATGCAGTATATCGGTATTTTAGTTTGAGGGCCATCTTTAATAAACTTTTTTTGTTTGAATGTCTGTCATATCTGTCATTTAGACCTTGTCAGCGTGATTTTGCCTAGTCAGTTCCTGAAAAGTCGACAACAATTTAACCAAGAATGTCAGAAGAAGGAGCAGCAGCTGCGGAGACACCCTCAACACCACCTTCATCGCCAACGACCTCACGTGCTGGATCGGCTAAGAAGTACAAAGTTCGCTTGTCTGAAGCAGACATTTGCTTCGTAGCCGGTTTGAACCTCGACGAGTGGGAAAATGTGACTTTGCAGCCCGAGAATACAAGTAATGCAGAAATGTTGGGTGATGAGAACGACGGCGATCAGCCGTGGATAGTGACTGAAGGCGGCAACGATGGTCGGATGTTGAAAGGTACTCGCGAAACTGAGCCCCAAAACTTGTACCTGTTCATGGAGAAAAAGGATGGATATATAGATGCCTTTCCGATTAAGAATTGGTACAACTTCCAGTCCATTTCGAATAACAAAACGATGTCCAATGGGGAGTTGGAAAAGGTGCTTGAAAACCGCAAGAGGAGCTTTGATGCCAGCTCCCCGACAGCGGGTGTCTTACCCAAGCGATTACGTTTGGAGGAAGAAGTGATGGACGTTAGGGAGGAGCCAATGGAACCTAAGGAAGAACCCCTTGAGCAGGAAGAGAACGCTCCAGTGAACGGGGACTCCTTTCCTAAGGAACCTAAGCAAGAACCACTTCAGCAGGCGGTGAACGCTTCCGTGGTTGTGGGTGACGGAGCTGAACGGGACATTGCGACTCCTGGTGAAGGCGAGGACTCCCAAACATCGGGTAGAAACGAACTATTGCCGTCCTCCAGCGACGAAGAGTCGGACTCTAGCGACGACTCCGATAACAGCTCAAGTGAAGACGAATTGGAGTCCGAGACCGAGTCTGAGTCCAGCCACATAATACGGAGCCTAGATACAGAATTGTTCTTGGATGGCAGCGATATAGACTCAACTGACTCGAATACTAGTTCCACAGAAGATGAAACCGATTCCGGATCCAGCTTGGAAGACGGCAGCTCCTAGAACTTCGTTCTAGTGAGACAGAAGCAAAGCAGTTGCTAAACTTCTAATACATGAACAGAAATATTCCTATTAATTAAAAATAAAACAACATGGAATGGGCAGCTACTCCTTTTAGGCTGATTCCATTTGGGACTAGCTAGACTAGTTGAAGTTGTCTTTTGCTTTTACAGTTTTAAATGTGTCGAACTAGCTGACTTTGTAAGCAGCTTATTAGGTAGCTTAAAAGTCTGACTAACCTCTTAATTTAACGCATTCAGCATGCTTTTGAAAGGAAGTTTGCGCCTTTGAGCTTGGCTTTAACAGCAGAGGTGCTCAGTCCTGGCACCTCCTATAATATGCATGTCTGTCTTTATGCCATGCGTATCAAGTGCTCGATGGTAGCAGCTGACAGTCAGGCAATGTCTCTCTCTAAGCGGCTTTATTTTATAATTAACCATTGTCGGCAGGCAAAAAGGCTGGACTTAAAAATGTAAACGAAATGTATTAAACGGGTAGAGAAGGGCGTGACAAATTTCATGTTACAAATACATAAATGATTAGCATGCAAGGCTAATTGATGTAAACATGTCCGTGTGCTTGTTCGTTTGTATGTCTGTCTGTCCGCCTGTCTGTCTGTATGAACCTCGATTAGTTTAGAAACATTTAGGCTAAGGTTGTCAGACTTTGTATGTAGTTTTGTCCTATCTCTGTGCAGATGGAGTTTTAAACAAACCAGATGTGGTGCCAATGTTTCCTAAGCTTTCGTAACTAAATTTGGTATTTAAAGGTTTCTAACAACCCCTCGTTTTTACTTGAACGATCGGACCAAAAATCCTTTCTAGCACGATATGTTTTTTTCAGTTGAATTAAATTTTAATTAGTTATTAATCTTGTTGTGTTTGTGGACGATGTCTGTGACGGAGTGTTTTGGGAATTGTCGGCTGTACCAATAGACATCCCAAATTTTGTATCCTCACACTTAAGCGTCGTATAGCTGAGTAGGTTATAAAAAAAACGCATTAGCTGTTACGTTCCATTTGGCCCTGTTGGCGGCATTTAAATCTCTAAGTCATAGTTTATAGCATGTGTGTGCCCTCGCGACGTACCAGAAGTCATAACAGATTAGTTTTGTGACCCAAAAGGTTGTAAAACATCGCATAACTTTCCGGCTGGCCATGGCGACAACATTTAAATCTCTTAGCGCACGCTTTACAGTGCGAATGCCCGTGTGGCGTATGCTTAATATTCCAATAAGGCTGCATGGCGTGTTTGAGTGAGGCATGAAATATTGCGTATAATATATTACGAAATACATGATTAAATTCATGTGCCAATGGAGCATAGACATAATATTATTAAAATTATGGATGCTTGGCTGTAATTCCATCAAAACATTTTCCAAATTACACGCTTTTCTAGCGACATATTAATTATGAATTGAAATTGAATTGTTTCTGCTCAAATTCTTCCCCCATTCTCCTGCCCTTATGCCTCACTGCGCATTCAGTGTGCTGACAAGCACACACATACATATTTGTATTTGTATGTCTATCTTCATCTGAACATTTCACAAACAAATGCCATTTAAATGAGCTAGCATTGAAAAGGCGAGGAAAGCCACGTTCGCACTTGGCTATCGTTTGACGCTCAATGAAATTCATTAAATCAAAGTATCGTTGAAAGCTTGATGTGTATATACACACTCAAGTACACACACACACACGCACACACACACAAAGCGTCACAGACATACAATTACACAGAATTACACAATCAGCAGGTACAGCCCCAAAAAGTAGGCAACATGAAATGGAAATTCGTAAAATTTGAGGCGACGCCCAGGACGACTTGCGAATGGCTGCAGGCGGTGGCAGAGGGCGGGCATGGTGGCGGCGTGACTGGGCGCTGCTTAGCCGTAAACATCAATTACGCTGGCCAAACTATTCACGCGATTAGCCGCGTTTCAGTTATTGGGTAATAGCCACTAACTACAACTACGGGGACAGAAGCAGCGGAGGCAGCAGCAGCAGCAGCGGCACAAGCTAAAACGAAAGCCGTTAGCAGCAGCGTCTACACTGGCAGAATAAAATGATTATATATGCAAGCTACAAGCTTAATATCTAACGAATGTTAATAAAAATTTTTGTTGTATAATATTTTTGATTTAGAAATTAAACAAACATGTACTTAAGTACATTTTTTTTAAACAGTTTATGGAATATAAGATCTGAGCACAGCATTAGTTATATGGGATTCAAACGAAGCAAATTGTAGTTTCATTTGTTGGTTTTCTAGAATACAGTCACTTTTAAATGAGATATGGACGCTATACAAAATATGGGTGTGCTTCCTAGATTTCGACAAGCCAACAAGTTTTGCTGTTTTAAGTTCCTCTGTTTCAAAGGTCCAAACATTTTCAAAATGAACAAAAAGTTACTCCTCATGCTGAATATTTAACATTAACCAGATTATTCTTATTAAAAAGGAAAACATAGAAATTAGGAACCATTTGGTGGTCCTCTTGCTTGCAAAGGAAAGGGTTTTGCGAATGTTTATTGATTTTTAACGGATATTTGCAGCACACATTAGAAAGTAAAAATATGGCATGGTCCTTCCAAGCTGCTAGCATATGGGAATCCTCTGTGAATTTTTTCTATGGTTAAACGAATTATAGGTTCAGTTTCTTCAGAGTTGTTGCCATTTGATTTTGAATGGCTCTCTTCATGCAGTTTAATTTCAAATAAAAATTTGTTATCCATGCCTTTCTCTTCAAACAACTCTTGCACATCATCAATATTCAAGTCTTCCACTCCTGCACCTTTAATTAAACGAACAAATTCAAATATTTTACGGAGTTCACATTGTGACAATTGTGGTTTTAAACAACCGCTGGTAATAATGTCTTCCAATATCCATTTAATATTGTTTCTTCAATATGTATCTCCTTTAAATTATTTGTAAAAGGTACTTTGAAAAATGTGGTTCTATTAAATAGTTATTTAATAATTTGTAAGTTTTGCAAATATTATATTTATTTTGCCATCTATAGCTTTATTTGAAATCAATTTGGAGATATTTCAGAATTTTCAAATGGTATAAACAAAGTTACTTTTTACAATTGGAAAATATCTAATGGGAGTCACTTAACAACAACAGAGTTTCATAGAATTGTTAAAAATAAGCACAAAAAGGTACCGAATGTTTGCAGAGTTGAGTACACTTTTAGGAAATTTTAAACTAATGCAAACACATTAAATATAGCCAATAAATAGGACGGAACGCATAAGGACACATAAAGGCACATAAAGAAAGCTGATGAGTTTGTTTTTTGCAAATGTCGTTTTTCTTGAATGCTTCGGGCTACACTTTCCACTTCCGCTCTTTTCCCATTTTGTGAAGTACATATTTATTTTAAAGCGATGCAGAGCTGCAGAATTTTGTCAGCACTAAGCATGTTCTAAAAGGCCAAGTTTGTAGTCACAGTTGCAGAAGGGTAAAAAGGATTCGTTGAAAGCTAGCTGGAAGAGCTTTAATATGATTGAGTGCGATTGTTGAGCATTGATATTATCTTCAACATAGAATCGAGAGCATCATTTATTTACAAAATTAATTACTTTCGCTTAAAAAAAAAGTTCGCAATAATTGTTTGAAATTCGATTTAGTGTGCCCTCAACCGAAAGCAAATGAGTCTATTTTTCAGGCCATTTTGAAGCCCATTTTTCTAATTTAGCGGCGTTGATTTTCTGTGAGTGTGGGGCGCGTGTAGGAAAGCGTCCGAAAGCGTAACACTGAATTGAATTAACGGGCAACGCTGTAAATCGCTATGGTGCATCTGATAAACGTGGCCGTGCCGACATGCGGGCCGTAAAAGGCTGAACTGTGAGCAGTCAGACACAGACACAGACAGAGACAGAGACACACACCGAGAGCTGAAGAGTTATTTGAAACTGTGAAAAAAGAAACAACAACAACAACAACAATGACAGCAGCACCAACAGCAACACCAACAGCAGCAGCAGCAGCACAAAACAAATGTAAAACAGGATAGAGGCGTAGGCGGCAAAGACCGATGTGGCTAACTGGCTGGCCTGACTTGCCCGACTTGGCTGACTTGACTTGACTTTGGTTGGCTCGCTGCCTGCTTTGGTCTTAAAAGCGAAAAGCCATTTGTATTCATTTGAAATTAATTTAGCATTCATTCAAGGCAGCGTGCGACGCATTCGTACAGTACAGAGTACAGAGTCGAGGGAGTGGGCCGTCTCTGGCGATATATGGCAGTGCTGTGCTAGGCTAAGCAATGGATAAATACGTGTACGTGGCATACATTTAGACCTAGACACACCCACACTTACACTCACAGACGCACACACACACACACAGACAGCTTGGCATGTGGCGGGGGCATCGATAAGCGGCTCGCTTGATTGCTAGACGCTCGGCTCAATTGGAAACTACCGCAAGGCGCCCTCGACTAATTTTAACAAATTAATTGGCAACAATAAATTTGCGTTGTAAAAAGGTGCCCGAGATAGCATCGCTTTAGCTAAAGCTGTCTCTCTCTCTCTCTTCCACTCAATCCCCTCCCTCCCTGGTGGAGTGTGGTGCGCGCACAAAAGCATGCTATAGATTTCAACACTAATTTGATTTCTTCAATGGCTGAGCTCGCGAACAGCCAAGAGAAAAAAAAATGAAAATAGAAGAAAGACGAAAGGTAATGGCAAAGGTAACGACGACCAAGACATCCGGAACGACCAGAGCGACTAGCCACAGCGGCAGCGACAGCGGCACCAAAGCGTTGATATATATTTTATTTATGAGCTTGTGTGTCGGGTGTTGAAATGTGCTTTGCAATTGTTGTTTTGCGGCACACTGGCGCTTATAAATAGGCTACGTTTTTTGGCCCTGCCATAACACGCAACATTTGACACGACCCCCTAACATTTGCCTTGCGCATATATTCTTAATACTACAGTAAAAATTCTCTACATTCCACACACTTTCCTCCGCCTCTTCCTGCTCCTCCTGCTCCAGAAATGAAATGCCTACTTATTTTCGCTTTAAATAATTAATCTGCTGTTCATTGGGCAAAGGTATAATGCAACCAAATTGTTAGTTTGTCTTGATAAAACGTCAATCATACTGTGTGAACAGTCCTCTTCTTGGGCGGCAGGAAGAGGGTAGAAATTATATTTGCTAAGCATACGAATTGACAGTCACATATCGATTTTATCTTCATATTCAGACTTTCTTATTTTCTGTATGTATGTGTGTATGTATGTGTGATATAATCATTGGGATAATACTAGCTTCAAAATTGTTTGTTTTGCATACAAATATAAATATCAGCAACTGTAATGAATATCTTAAGAAACTAAAAATTATTTTTGGGTGGGTCTCTTTTTGTTACAAAAATAATGAATATTAAAGGAATATAAATGCATTTTTCAATAAGATTGCCATTGCTGTAATGAAGATAATGCATTAAATTCTTGATTGTTTGCCAGCTGTGATTAATTTGGATTGCCAGTGCGATAATGAAGATAATACATTAAAATCTTAATTGTTTTTCAGCTGTATTTATTGCCTTTTTTAAGTATTTTGTCTACTGCCAGTCAAAAATCGTATTTTTTATTCACCCTAAGCATTTGGTTAAATATTTCAATTTCAAAGTCAACGACCCTTAGAGAAAAGTCTGTTACAAAGTCAAAGCAGCTTAACAGACTCAAACGAAAAGCGATCCCAAAATTCTCTAACTTAGCCACCAACTAAGTGCAAAATCCGAACATCAATATGTTGGAAACACTCATCAAAAGACGCACGACATGTTGGCCCCAATATGGGGGCCATTGTAACCAAAACACTTTGCATTTATGTTGCAGTTAGCAGCGTCGTGACGTTAAATGGCTTAGCTTTGTAGAAGGTGCATAATAGCATAATAACAACCAATTTTGGCTTCGGCTTAGACTTTGAAAGTCGCCCGCCTTCCTGCCATCGCCAGGTGTGGATTTCCATGAAAGCACACAAATGTGTTCGCTGTCAACAAAGATGTCCAATATGCTTTTCTATATGCATGTAAAGCATACAAGTTTTCCAAATGTAAATGCCTGCTGTACATCCAACCCGCATCAAACATTTCACAATTAGACTGTTAGACTGTTTGAGTGACAAGTAAAGTACGAGCAGATTTGTAAAATGGTTTTAAAACAAATACTGTAGCTTTGCAGATAAATACAACATATGTGAATATAATTTATAAATAAGAAAACACTTATTGGAATCAAAAGATTTAATAAATGAAACAAAAGATAACAAAGATACCAAGTAAGTAAAATTGTAATTCATATTATATTTTCGTGAATTTAATAATAAATTTGCCAATATTGTAATACTCTTTTGACCCAGCAATTGAAAAAAAAATACTAAAATATTCGCATCGCTAGTTTTTCCAATAACTTGGCAATGCAAACTGTGCGTCGATGAGAGCAATATATTCAAGTGCCTTGGCACTAAGCCCATGACACTCTATTTTGTGAGCAGTTTGGTTGCCCTTTTAAGTTTTTCCTAAACTCTCGCCATTGCAGTTAAAATGCTGAACATCTCTCTCCCTGTTGCCACGATTCTGTGGCAAACACTAGAGTGTTTAAATCTAACTTTGTTACAATTTCTGTTTGAAAAGCGCATTAATTATTCAAATAACAATCAAGGTATGAGAAGTGCGTGGTATATAAGTATTTTCAATTGTTTCCATAAATGATTTATTAATTTATAAAATTCACAACAGAACAGCACGGGTGTAGTAAACTAATTTGTATTTTGTATTAACTGTACCCCGAGGTGTCCAATCAAATGTGTCAAAAGTAAAACGATTTTACTGTACAAATACACACATTTGTGTATATAAGTGTACATCAATAGGTGGGTGTGTGTTTGTGTGGGTTGCTGCTGTCACTTGTTGTTGTGCTTTCCCGGCAAATCCCACAAATCTTATTCAGGCACATTAGCAAAAAAGAACGAAAAACACAGCGCGGCGCACATAAAGTCAAATTAGCCTATAACTGTCTGTTCAATTGTTTTTATGCGCGTAAATATGTGAGTGTTTGTGTGAGAGTGTGAGTGTGTGTGTGTGTTGCTGTCATATACATATTCCCTCTACCTATGGTCTCATGCATATTGCGGTAAAAATTACACACACATCCATATCGGTCGGTGTGCCAGCGGCAAACGTAAATCATTCATGTTGCCCCAAAATGTAGACTATATTAATATGCGAACGCCGAGGCATTGTGTGTGCGGCGGCGACGACGACGACGAGAAATGCGAGCAATACGAGTAATACGTAAGTATTGCGAATATTCATTTGTACGTGACTATTGAGCGATATTATGCGGCCTCTCTCTCTATATTCCCTTACACTCTGTTCACGTTTCTTCTTTTTTTTTTTTGACTCAACACCGTTGCTGCTGCTGCCACCGCCGCCACGTTGAGGCAGGTTGTGCTAATAACCCAGATAGCGAGACGACAGGCGCAGGCAGCAGTCAGCAGCCGACCAGGACACCGACAGCGACGACAATAGCGAGGACAACAGCGACGACCACAACGACAATGACGAGCAATGAGCGGAGCTTACGCTGTCGCTATCAGTGTTGACTATTTAGCCATTTTCACTCTAGTTCGCTAGTGTTGCAAAACTGTTAAAGTGTGTTTATGGTCATTTTGAGAGAGTTTTGAACTATGGAATAAAGCTTGATTCTACAGTTAGCAAGGTGTGAAACGACTAGATCGTCGGCTATTTTTTTGAAATTAAAGCCATTTCAGTGGCCAATTATTTATAGTTTTTAAAAAACGACGCCTGATTAGCATTAATTGAATAGTAAATATTTATGTATTTTTTTTTTTATACTTACATATATTCGAATATTACAAAAAATTTCCATTTAATCCATTTAATGTAAAAATTAACTTTTTTAAAATTTTAATTGTACTTTAAATTTTTACGATTTTCCTTCCAAAAAAAATATGACTTTTTTAACATACTATATTATTACAAATATTAATGTCTTAACGAAAATCTAACATCGCTGCATTCATATCTATAGTTTTTACTAATCCTATGATTATGATTATGTCATTTGATTTCTTGGATTTGGAAATAAATACTTTGTAATGTTTGGGATTGTAAAATAAATCTCCGTCAATAATTGAGAAGTCCTTCAAGAACTACGGACATCTGACATCGCTGTATTAGTTTCATTTGATTTCTTGGTTTGTTTTTCATATTTGGAAAAGGAATTTCATGTTATAAAACAATAAATACTTTTGTGATCGTAAAATCAATCTCTGTCAATAATTGAGAAGTCGTTCAAGAACTACTGAAACTGATCGAAACACAGTTCTCATGCAACAATCTAATAAATTATTAAATTATGACAAAGATTAAAAAATGCGCCTTATGAGCTAAAAATAAAACAACGTAAATATGAGAAATGTACTCTAATTACAATGAAACGGGAGAGTTCTGAGCGAAGGCAATGAAAACTTCTGTTCTATAGCTATTTCTGGCTTGTTTTGAATGATCTGATCTAGTATTTTCTGGCCGCTTAAGGGGTTGGCAACACTGCTCGCTGTCTCTGCCGCCGTCATGCTGGCTGCTGCTGAGGAGAGCGCGTCGTGAGAGCAAGAAGCTAACAAGCCAGAGTAAGAAGCTGTGCCGTCGCGACGCCTCGCTGCTGCATTGCGCGCTCACTTATACAAAGATGTTAAACCCTAACCAGCCGAGCGGGCGAGCAGGCGACCCAACAAGCGACCGCACTTTTGTTTATTAAAAATGTAAGGAGAAGGAAGAAAAAAGCACACAGCACGCAAATTAAAATTTTATGGCCAGCTGCAGCAACAAAGGCTAAGAGGTAGCCGAAAAAAAGTAAGAAGCTAAACGGAAAGAGCGCGCTCCTTGCGTCTGCGCTTTGACGAATTGCCTTTCGTCGGCCGTTCGTCAATTTAAATTCGTTGTTGCTGTTGTTGTTGTCGTGCTCGTGTTCGTCGTCGGGTTCATCGTCGTCGGCGTCGTTGGCGTCGTCGGCGTCGTCTGCTCATCCGTTTAGCGTTTTCGGAGTCGTTTGCCGTGAGGTAGAGACGCGCGCCACAACTGGTAACTGGCAACTGGCTGGCTGGCACGATGAATCAGTTCCAGTACGCGTATCCTGCCGCAAGGATGTTACGCATACGTGCGCAACAAATTTCTGCCAAGTGTGAAAGTGTTTTCCACAGAGTGTGTGTGTCGCCGTCGTTCTGTCGCTGAATTTTTCATTGTGCCACATTTAAAATAAAAAGCTATTTAATAACTAAATCCCAGCGAGCGCGTAGACGGTCACGTTCGTATACGGTCGGCCACGGACGCCATTGCGAACAAATTCCAAAGGACGAAAAGCGCCTCCACTTACATTCCCATACATATCGTGAACGCTTAGCAGTGTGTGTATATATAGTGTGTACCTAATACATACATGTACGTGTATATATATATGTATATGTTGGTATAAATATAATAATACAAAGGAACTGGCTCGCCGTTGCTGTTCGTCGTTTGTTCCTCACATGCGTGTCCTGCCATTCAAAGTGCTAAACGGAAATATTTTGGAAATCCGTGTGATTACCAAAAGAAGAGAAAGAAAGGAAAAAGGAAAGAATTGATTTCGTGTATCGTGTGTGTGAGTCTGTGTGTGTTTTGTTCATAAATTCAAAGTCCAGTAATTATGCGGCTGCATTGCGCAATAATCGATTGTTTAAAAAACAAATAAGCCATAAAGGCAAAGCTCCATTCGAAACTGTTGTTGACTAAAGGACTCCGAGTATGTGGCTGCTGGCTCCGCAATATGGCAACGACAAGTCCCTGTGTGCTGGACATTAAACTGTGGTCAAGTGTTTGTGGATTACACATACTATAAGTAGGAAGCAGTCGATGGAAAAACTAACAAAAACATACCCACACATACTACATATATAAAAATATACTATATCGAGTATATATGTATAGTAATATAGCATATCCAGACAATGTTGCTGGCGGCCACAAAAATTGGGCACAAACAAATTTTGAATTGCGTGCTAAGCAAAAATTGTAAGTGAAAGTGTAACGTCAACGCAAAAGTATATGCGGAATTTATAATGCTCCTCTTCTCAGAAAAAAGTATTTTCGTTTCCCCACTTTCTTTTTTTTTTTGTTTGGTTCTGGTTTTCCGTCGCTTGCGGGGCTGTAGGATTGTGGGATTGGGGGATTGGGGTATTGGGGTGTTGGGGGCATTCAACAGCAAGCGCTTAGAAACTGAAAGAAAAGCAGAAAAGGGTTTTTCTTTCATGCTTAAGCAGTGGAGAATTGGCATTGGCTTTGGGTTTGGGGCTTCAATGTGTCAAAAAACGCAGCTCAGGCTGTTGAGTAAGGCTGTATCGGATATGAGGGCTGGACTATTGCAAATATATGCGGCTTGACTTTTTGTTTTTCGCCCTTCACTTGATGTGGGACGACTGTAGGTGTAAATGCCAGGACTTTGCAAGGATTTTGAGCAAGGAATGTGCATTAGGCCAGCATATATATATTCATATACTCGTATGTACAGCGGGAGATTTGTATTTGAATAAATGGAGCATCATCAGTCATTCCCGCACTCTGCTTTCTGCATTCAATTAAAGGATTTGACAGCAAAGTTCATAAAGTTTTTTACTTGTAAGCACGACTGGCAGCTGCTCGGCTTGCGGGCTCAGCATTTGCCTAAATTTGGTTTCATTTTGATCCACATATGTTCTGGAAGATATTTATTTAAGAATACACAGTTTAATATATTGTTATAAATAAATAAATAAAATGAATGTTTAAATAAGCTTACTGTTTATTATGTTGCCATTTTCACAATGTATAATGCTGCCCTAAACTAATGCTTAAATGCTAAGCCATTTAGCAAATTTAGATTAAATCGATAAAAAGGCAACATGTACAAATTAGAAGTTTCTAACGACCAGAGCCTATTTGTGTATTCAGTGTTAATCGCGAATAAGTGCCTACTTCCGGTTGTAAAAAAACGTATTCAGGCAGAGAACAGAGTATTTAGAAATGGCGGTTGGCAGAGAATGCATTTTGAAAGTCCTTGGAGTCTTAACAGGTGGTGTAACCAATCCTTAAAGCCCTAAATATATTGAATATAATTGAATTACAGTTCTCGTTTCGAATCATTCACTCTTGATACAAATCCTTAAATATTTCAAATATACTTGTATTATCCAACTAGATTATCCGCGTTGTAATCTTGAATTTGTAAATTGAATTCACATCCAAATTACCTAAAATCAAGGCCCAGTTTCTTGTTGTAAAACGCATAAATCATATTGTCATCAATTGAACAGAATTCGCAATTCATTCCAATCAGTTCACTGTCAGTTTAATTTAGTTTTAGGCAGCAAGTCCTGCAAAAGTACAATTGATTGTTTGTGCCGCATAATTTCTAATTTGCTCGACAATATATCGGACAAATGCGAATGTTTTCGATTGTTGCAGGCACGCACAAATTATAATAAATTTATAATTTTATTTCCACGAACAAATAATGAATTGTATGAGCACTTGCTACCCAAGGGCATAAATACTGGTTCAATGTGCTAATTAGCTTATGAAAAAAACTTAGAAAAAAGAGGGTAATTACACCAAAATGTAGTATACATGAATATGCCAAGACAATATCATTTAATACCATCTAATTAGTGGGAGAGAGAGCGACAATTTGAATGTGTTGAAGCACAACTAATAATTGCAGGAAAATTGGAAAGAATGCTCATGGCTTTAAGGACATTATATTATACGTTTATGGTTGTTATATACTTCTATGTCGCTAGCGCAAGTGTTAATGAAAATTCAATACTTTTGCAGATCAAGGCTAATCATGATTGTACGCATGAAAAAACGGTGAAACGTGTTCCCTTCGGGCTAATGTTGTTACGATTTCCGTTGCGACCAGCATTTTGATTGATCCAATCGGTATCAAAACGTTTCCTATTCAGTGTGGGGAATTGGCTGGTGATTTTCTTTATAAGTTCTAATTATAGTTGGTTCATTGGAGAACTTAGATTGGCGCACAGATTACATTTTTATGACAATAATGAATGACTTTCCAGTAAATTAAAGACTACGCTTTTGAGAAATCAAATTTAATTTAAGCAAAACAAAGTTAGATTCCACGAGATCAAATTAATTATAAAGCCATTAGCAAAGCGCATGCACTTGCTTATTATTCGCAACCGGGGGTGTGGGGGCAAAATTGTATTTCTATTTAGAAACTATATACTGCCGTGAGAACGATTAGTTGACAGCATGCCGTAGGCTTAAAAATGCTTGTGATTTTGCTGACAGTTACTAATTCGTTGCAGAAGTTAGTTGGATCATTTTAATTATTCATCAATATTTAATTATTTTATCTACGCAGAAAAAAGAAACCTTTTAAAATACTCGAATTTAATGTTTTTTATAATTTTCACTTTATTTTTCAGCTCATTGCACAAAGCCACATATGTACATATGTAAATCATAAATTGCAACATTCAAAAGTGGTTCAGCGTTAATCGCTTCAAGAAAATATGTCGATGGTTTATTTGAGTCGTTTAAAACTTTATTGCTACGCACAACTGTGGCTGGTCCTGCTTTTCGGTAAGTCGAATATCCTTTCCTTTCAAACTTATATATATTTTAAGTATATAAATAAGCGTCTTCAATTTTAACGCATAAAACGCAGACAGTCCATTACCCTGAATGGGTTTGAGTTTTGCAATTATGAGTTGCATACTTTTAGGCCTCACAACAACGATTCAAATAATATGCATATTGAAATCGTAAATACAATATTGTATTTAACATTTGTCCCATTTATAATAAATGAGTTTTGATAAAAAATATAAAATTTAAATAAATATTAAATTATAAATTAATTGAAAAGCAATAAATACTTGTCAAATGTTTTATAAATATCCATGTATTTGCTAAAAATAATATTCGAACAAATATATTTAATTCTATTTTTAAAATATAAATGATATTGATCACCTAAAAATACATAAAACAAATACAAAAATATAATATGCCCTAAATTATTTGAAAACAGTAGTAAGAAATTGTACAATAATTCGGAATATAATGTTCAGATAAATCGAACGAATTAATATATCATATTCAAAAATATGTTTCTATATTAATAGTAGCCAAAATTGTTAGTTGAAAGCATTTACAAACTCGTATATAAGAATATAGCTTTTGGCTAGAAGCTATCTCTAGCAACTCTTCAATGAGGTACACCTTTATTAATTAATTTATTTGCCACAGTTGCAATTAATTAAATGACCCAACTTTAGATGGCAAAGTTTTATTTTCTGATTATATTGCATTATTTCGGTTGAGAAATCATTTTGCTTTCGTGGATAAGTATACATAAAGCTTAAATATCACAAAACGTTAGCAACTATTTAGCAATCGTTGCAGGGAATTAGAGCGCGCAAATTATTAAGATTAGGCCTCTATAAAATGAACGAATTGGGAGGTACTTATTAAGAATAAGTAAGACAAAATAAAGAGTCTTAATTGATGAAAGTACCAATTAATTGTAATAAATATTTTCAAAAATCATTATTCTAATGAAAGCCCTTTAAAACAATTAGAGTTGTTCAATGAAAAAGTGCACAAAGTAATTAATGGCTTTGGTAGACCTATGTAGGTCTTCTAATTTATAATGTACTACGTACTGTTGGCTTTGAGCACTCCCGGCACTTATCGGCAGTTCCGGCAGGTAGGCAGCGCACCGTGCTTTTAGTCGTGATAAATGACCGAATCTAGGCTGCCGGAGAAAAAGAGGCAATTGACTTGACAACTGATATGCCAGAATCGAGTTGCTGGTTGAGACGAGATAATGGACCTGTCTGGTTCGCTCTCATTAAAGTAAACGGCTGGATAATCGATTCCACGTCTAATGGAATAAGACCGTAGGTCATGTATAAGTAATTAGTAGAGTGCATTTAGAACCGTGTGTGGCCCACGCCCATCGATTCATGCGTGCATTAAATGCCCTTTATGTACGAGCTTAGGCCAATGTACATATTTGCTTGGTTAACATTTTCAATCTATTTCCAGAAACCGGTGTGGTCAACGGCGAAGTGCCTCCCCATTACTGGGAAACCCCCTACTCCCAGCCCTATTTCGACAACTCGTCGCGCCGTGAAGTGACGGCGACAGTTGGCCAGGCAGCCCTACTACATTGTCGCGTGCGAAACCTCGGAGATCGAGCGGTAAGTGCGACGCAAAAGTGTTGCTTAAGAAATCGCCAACAGTGACTTAATTGTTGTGATGGCAGGATAGCAATAAATGCAGCAATGCTATTGAGTAGAGAAATAAAGTTCTACAAGTATTTACTCAAAGCCATTATATCTAGAGTGAATAATAAAGTAGTCGTCAAAATAATGCATTTTAACCTTGAATCTAAGTCTTTATTTCTAATCTCGCGGATTTAAATGGCTAAAAAAATGCTAAGCAAATCACTTCAAGTAATAATTCCAATATTTCAGATATTGTAGAAAAGGCTTTAGCCAAAGTTTGGGAACATTTGCATGTCATGGCCCATGAAATCACTTATATCTTTTAAATATAGAGTCTAGCTTAGTTTCTTAAAAACAAAATTTAATACTTTCTCCTTATTAAATACAAGATGCTTTTGAATTAACAAAACGTCATAAATGTTTTAAAATTCACTTTTAATGAAAACAACATTCTTTTCTCTTACCAAATTAAGGGTATTTGTTAAAGCTTGGGCTTCGCTTTAGGTCAGAATGATGTTTCTTTTTTGGCGTACATTGTAAAAGATATTTAGCTTTTAGCTTCGAGCTATTTCTGCGATAAACCGAATACTTTCTTATTGTCGTTGTTATTCTATTTCCTCTGTTAATGGCAGGCCTGTGCTCTTATAACTGTCAGTGTCTCTGCCATTGGGTTTTTGAATGTTAAAGAAACATCTTAAGCGCTGTTAAGCCTTGCTGTTATAGATATTTGACATGTTTACAAATTTTAATTTTTTCTTTTTATACTCTCCTATTGTAGTTATTACTGTCATTATAGTTATAGTTGTTATTCTATTTCCTCTGTTAATGGCAGGCCTGTGCCCTTATAACTGTTAGTGCCTCTGCCATTGAGTTTTTGAATGGTAAAGAAACATCTTAAGCGCTGTTAAGCCTTGCTGTTATAGATATTTGACATGTTTACAAATTTTAATTTTTTCTTTTTATACTCTCCTATTGTAGTTATTACTGTCATTATAGTTATAGTTGTTATTCTATTTCCTCTGTTAATGGCAGGCCTGTGCCCTTATAACTGTTAGTGCCTCTGCCATTGAGTTTTTGAATGTTAAAGAAACTTCTTAAGCGCTGTTAAGTGTTTTTGTGATTTATAGTGCTGTTAAGTGTTGCTGTTACTGATATTTGACATGTTTACAAAATTTATTTTATTCTTTGTGTACTTTCTTATTGTAGTTGTTGTTGTAGTTCCTCTTTTAATGGCAGGCCTGTGCTCTTATAACTGTTAGTGCCTCTGCCATTGAGTTTTTGAATGTTAAGTTTTGCTGTGATTGCTGTTAACTGTTGCTGTTATTAATATTTGAATAACAGAGGCAAATGCTGTTGGGCATTAAAGCAATAGGTTTTATATTTTGTTGTTTGTTAAATGAATAGGCAACCTTTTTTCTATGTGTTAGGAGCTCTGCATGTTTTGCTTGTGTGATTTAATTTCAACTAGTTTTAAAATACGCATAATGCTTTTAATTTATTTTATCTATCTCACTGCACATTACAACTTCTTATAGCGAATTGTAGATACAAATTTGTATTATAATCGTTATTTTTTTCAAAATCACTTTATTGAATCACTGGGATTTTTGAGTAACACAATCACAGTCTGAGTCGCAGGTTTCTGGCACCACTGGGGTGCACACACAAAAAACGGCCGGCTAGACCCAAAGAAAAGCCCACACACACACACACACACACTCACATAGAGAATCCTATTTAGTCGTAGACTTAGCAATTAAAATGGCATGCGTTGCATATGGCGGCCCCTCGCACAAACATTATTTTTGCATAAGGAAAACAAACGACCTGCGGCGGTCGTGTGGCAGATTTGTAGATTACATTTAAAAGATTACGCCATAAAGTTCGCGGTCTAACCTCGGACCGAGTTGAATGCGCTTATTGCTTACCCACTCTGGCCTAAGCTTCAGCTTGAGGCCCCGCTACCTAGCGCCTTCAGCCTATCTCTCTCGCTGGGTCTGCGTTTGGCAAACCCTTGCAAATGTGCTCAATCTCGTTCTCACATTTGTAACACGGTTGCGCGCTTCCGCTACAGAAATGGCTATGGCTCCATGGCTTTCATGGCTATACTATATGGTAGCAGCTATTTGTTAGCAATGCAATGCAATGGCCACGAAGGAGCCCGAACTCGCACTCGCACTCGAACTCGAACTGGAACTCGAACCCGAACTCCAAGCTGAAGCTAAACCCAAAGCCACAGCCACAGCCACGAAAATGCTCTGCAATTATGCGGTGTAATAAATTTCAACGTGTCTTGGCGCTGCTGTATGCCCAACTCGATCCTTTGTTGTTGTTGCTGTTGTTGCTGGGCTTATTGTTGTTTGCGACTCCACAGAAAACAAGGAAGCAAGGACATCAAGGCACGTCAGCGACATTCTCGTTGAATCGCACCGAGACAGTTGAATTGAGTAATTAACGCAGCGCTAATTTAATGCCAGGTGCTTTGTCTAGGCAGCTGCAAGTGACAGGACTTGCATTGTCCTTCTCGCGAGCTCAAAAGCCAATTAAACAGAACATTACCAACAACCAACGACCTTTTCCAATAACAACTGTATTACCCTTTCGTTAGTATGACTTTTATTTCCTATTTATATACATGGGCATTATCCTATTTATGGCCGTGTACTTTAAAAGCCATTTCACATTTCAATGCACCCCTAATAGCAATTCTCGCTGCTCAAGTGTTACTTAAAATAATAATAATAATAATCATATACTACCAGGACGCGTAATAAAAGACGTGATGGATATTTTACTTGGCTTTACATTCATTTTGATTGTGCAATAAACTTGTGCCTTTTCTGTTTAGCATAAAGTGCTGAGAAATAAAACATCAGCTCCTACATATGCATTGTTTAAATTAAATCTAAGCTCAATTTACACTTATTACTGCTGTCTTAAATAAATATGTAAATAGATTTGTTCTTTTTTAAAATAATATAAAGTACGTTGATTTTTTTTTGCAAAAATCATAAAATTCTAGGAATGTGAGTGCAAATTGTTTACCTTTCTCAGTGTAGTTTCACTTCTAGGAATGAACAAAGTAGGTGTGGTGGAATGTCATGCCTGAAATTTCTTAATTAGAGCTGTGCTCCGCTTGACTCCTAGGTGGGCAGATGGTGATGGCGCTGCAAAGTATGGAATTTATTTCCTCCAGAGAAAATAAAACTCAATTGTTTGTGAAGATGGATTTTTGTCCGTTGATTGTATATAGATTTATATTGTGTAATAAAAATGCTTTGTAAAAAGTGCTAAAGTTCAACTTCAAAGCGTTTTGAAGATTAAGCAAATAATGAACAAAGAAATGCTATGCAAAAATACTCGCTATCGATGCCGAGTATATTATTATTTGAGTTAAAAAGGAATGCAGAGAGTTTAAAAGTTTTACTTCAAAGATTTTTATGGCTTAAGCGAGGTGAAGAGCGATGCGCTTTAATAGCAACACTGCAGAAGGTGCATGCTAGTTCGATACCTACTCGATTGCAACACTTTTTAAAGCTTAAAATGAAGTAAACTATATTTAAATGAGCTATGCGAGTAATCGATAAGACATTCTAAATGTGAGTGTTAGTTCGATACCTACTCGATTGCAACACTCACGGAGCACTGTTTAAAAGACACTCTTGACCAAGCTGAAATAGCTTATCTTCATCCCTGCCATTATTTCCGCAGAAGCGGGTCATCTAAGTCGATTAATGACATTAAAATGAAGTAAATTATATTTAAATGAGCTATGCGAGTAATCGATAAATAAGTGTAAAATGTGTGTGTTAGTTCGATACCTACTCGATTGCAACACTCATAGAGCATTGTTTGAAGTTCTAAGTTGATTAATGACATTAAAATGAAGTAAATTATATTTAAATGAGCTATGCGAGTAATCGATAAAACACTGATGCCCCAAGGGGGTCATGACTGAAACGTTAAGCCAGCAAGAAGCGGGCAAGACAAAATAATGAGTGCAGAAGAGTAAGGAAAAGCAATATAGAGATACATAATACATTATTAAGGCAAGCCTTGCATAAGGCAGTGCAAGATAATACTTCAATACAGAGGATTAAAAATAAAAAAAAGTTACTCAGCCAATAGGGACAGACATTTTAAGTTAACTGTTTCCTTAGATTTAGGTTTCATTTTCAAATGCCTGTCCAACACTGATGGCATTTGGGCGAAACAAAATTTGTAAGCCACTGTTTAATAAAGTTCGATTAGTAATATATAATCGAATTCGTTTAACATTTCTTCAGTGAATTAAAATCACAAAAAGCAGTGATGCAAAACAACCATTTTCGACATAAATCTATAATAAATACAGATAAATTTAGAAAAAGGCATGTAAACACATTATAAGAAACATTTTACAACGATATTAGAACTAGACCCTACAAATTTCTTGGTATCAATACTTTTAGAGTGGGGAAGAGCTCAGTTCTATTTAGAACTTAACACATTTTTTTTTTTGTGGAGGTGCGGTAAAAGGTTGCACTGCCAATTGTGATACCTTTTTAATGTTGTTGTGTGACTTACTAAGACGCCATGAAAAGGTTTGAAAGGATATTTTAAGTCCCAATTGGGGTGCTCAGATAAATAAAAAGTATAATATAAAAAAGTGTGTAAAAAATCAGTTAAACGGTTATTATTATGTCAAGTAAAAGAACTTGGCAGCTACTTGGAATGCCGTTCAAAGAGCCAAATGTCCTTTTAATGTCCATTTAAATGTAAATTTTTTATGTTTACTTTTTTGCTCGGGCGCTGCTCGTAGTAATAATAATGTCCTACGGGTAGAACAATTATTGTTTAATTTCATATGACATTTCCTGCACAATATTTGGTTGTGTTTTAGTTTTTTTTTGCAAAATACTCATTATTCTACGCATATTCTATTGCTGCGTATTTGCTAGCTTTTGTTCGAAAGGCGCTTTTTTACGCTCAATTGAATATTATATTTTCAGATATTAAATTAAATTGAATATATAATACTACAATGCTGGTGAAAAAAACAGTCACTAATTATGCCACCAATTGCATTGCATATTGCAGACGTGAATGCTTCTGCTTTCAGTAAGTTATGTTCATCTGTTTTTTTATTTATTCGATTTAATCAATGAGTGAGCAATCCAATTTTTTGTTTTTTCATCCAATACCTTTGCTGAAAACCACTCTTTATTTATATAATGTTGATTACAAAATTTGATTAACAATTTGTAAAATAAAAACAAAAATTTTTTAAATTACATACTAATTGATGTAGGAAATTATTTTCATCAAAAATAAGACTGTGTGGTTTCCGATTCTACTTTGTCTGAACCATTATTCTTTCAATTAATCGATAAGACTACAGGTGAAGACATTTCTTCTTAAGTTCTATACTTATATTAAATAGAAATATCTTTATCGAAGATAAGAGAATTAAATCATATGAAAAAAAAATGTTAAAAGCCCATTTCAATTTGGTCTGGTTCTGATAATGGCATCTACGAGAAAACTATCTTAAACAAACTACTCGAAACATTCTGACACTTTAAACGACAACAAGGTTATATTAATCGGATAATTTTATAAAAGTAGTTTACGATTTAATATATCTCAGAATAAGGAATGCACAGCATTCACAGCACTGTATTGGACTCGATGTCGATTTTCTTTTTGTTAAAATTTTCCTTGTTAAGCCTACAGTTTAGTGTTAAGTCGAGTGTTGAAAGCTCTAACTAAGAAGTACATGTATATCATCTTTCCTAGTGGAAACCATATTGATTTATTTTCCAGCTTAAATAATAGGTTAAGAATTACATTTCATACAAAGTCCTTAAACCTGGGTGTCTGTTCTGTTTGTTTTTTTTGCTCGACAGGTATCCTGGATACGCAAACGGGACCTGCATATACTAACCGTTGGCATACTGACTTATACGAATGATCAGCGCTTTCAGTCGCTACATTCGGAGGGCTCCGATGAATGGACTCTGCGCATCTCATCGCCACAGCCGCGAGATTCGGGCACCTATGAATGCCAAGTATCCACCGAACCCAAAATAAGCCAGGGCTTTAGACTGAATGTTGTGGGTGAGTTGATTGAGTGTGTGTGTGTAAGTGTGTGTGTGTGTGGTTATTTGTATGGGATATTCGTATCCATGTTGTGTTGAAATCCGTAAAATCGGGTCAGGCATTTAATTAATATATGTATACGTTTGTATATTTGTCTTCTCTCTCTCCCTCTGTATGTGTGTGTGTGTGTGTGTGTGTGTTTGCATTTGCAATCCCTTGTTTCGCTTTTTCTCTTATTTTTACTTTATACATTTTTACTTGTTTGTATGTATGTGGTTGTGTGTATGTGTGTGTGTGTGTGTGTTTATTTTTTGCAGTCTCGCGTGCCAAAATCCTTGGCAATGCTGAGCTGTTCATCAAGAGCGGCAGCGACATCAATCTCACCTGCCTGGCAATGCAGTCTCCGGTGCCGCCCTCGTTCATCTACTGGTATAAAGGCAAGCGGGTCATGAATTATTCTCAGCGTGGAGGCATTAACGTCATCACGGAGCGTTCCACGCGCACCAGCAAGCTGCTGATAGCGAAGGCCACGCCAGCCGATTCGGGCAACTATACGTGCTCGCCAAGCAGCTCAGGTGGGTACAAACATTGCTATACTCGTATAGCCATCTGATATGGGTATATGGGTTATGGGTAGCTGTAGAGTCGACTAGAGCTGCGCGTGACTAAGGAGCGTGCGTGCGTGATCGTGACGGGTCAAGAAAGGTAATGTTTCAACTGCCAATAGGGGTTACAATGTCATGAAAACTCTTGAATATACTCTTCGATAAATCGTTCTGATTATTTATTGATGACAAAATGTTGACCCACGTGAAGCAGTGCTGTTTTTTACTCATATGTGCAAATATTTTTGAGTCAGAAGACTTTTCCTCCTCCAAATACTTCAGGTAGTTGCACATATGCCTGAGAGCTAGTCCAGTTTTCCTAAATGTAGACTGTCTGAATAATTGGTGGATTACTTCCAAGCATCGCTTTTTGGTGATGAAGCCAATTTTCACCGCAGAAGCAACACCTGTGCTATGCTTCTGGAATTATAAGAGAGTGATGTAAAGCTGATTACCCAAATAACTTCTTCCTTACCTCCCGAAAAATACGCGTATCTGTGCTAAAAATGAGTTCAAATAGCTTTCGGGACTATCAGAGAGAAATGTAAAGCTGATTTCTTCCAAGCATCATTCAATGGTTAAGCTTTATAGACTTGAAAACAATCCTCACCTCCGGAATAATACCGCATCTGTGTTAAAAATGAATTCACATAGCTTCTGGAATTATCAGAGAGATATAGAAACCTGTTTATTTCCAAGTATCAATCAATGGTTAAGCTTTTTAGACTTAAAAACAATCCTCAATACTTCGGATAATAATCCGGATAATACTCGTATCTGTTCCAAAAAGGAATTCAAATAGCTACTAGCTAGGACTATCAGAGAGAAATATAAAGCTGATACTACCAAGCATCATTCAATGGCCACATTTGTTAGACATGAAACCAATTCTCGCCCCAGGAGTAAGATCTGTGCTATGCTGTGGAATGTATTGCACTTAAAAATGCATTTAAAAAGCTGCTTGCACTAACTGAGCCAAGTACAAGGATAAGAGGTAAACATTTTAGTGGAAAAGCGGCTCCTTTGCTAAACATCTGAGTTTGATGCTGAGAGGGCTGTGGATGTTCGTGAACATGGCGGCTAAGCGGCAAGAATCCGTGACAAAAAATGTGCTCCGTAAACTTGCTTGATGGTGACGTCATTTGCTGTCGCGCGCACAGCTCTAGCGGCGGAGTAGTGGAATCGTGTGGCGACTAAGGCCACATCAGCTGCCAAAATGCTGGCCAATGCAATTAACTGTACATATTTTGCTTCTTCTTCTTCTTCTCCTCCTTATTTAACTTTACTTCTTGGACTCGCTCTGCCTGGCTGGCTTATTTCAGATTCCGCCTCCGTGGTGGTGCACGTCATAAACGGCGAACATCCGGCGGCCATGCAACATGGCAACAGCAGCGCCAGCTCTTTGCGTTGGAATTCAGTGCCTTTCCTAGCCATGTTTATGGCCAGCGCTGCGGCCACCTCCTCGGTCCGCTGCCTGCCAGCGGGCGTCCTCCACTGGCTCCTCCTGCTTTGGCTCGCGGCCGCGGCTGTCACATTGAACTGGAGCAGCCCCATTCTGGATGCCTGGCAGCTGCCACCATTCCCATCAGTGCGGCGCTGGAGCCTGGACGGATGTGGACGTGCATGTCGCTGGGGACGGAACACGGGGAGGGGGAGGGGCATTTCGTGCAGCTGATGCAGCTGCCTAGAAGTAAGTGAGTAAATAGTGGGCAGTAGTTGGCCACCCAGCTCTGCCCCTACTCGTATTATTCGTATTCGTATTATCGTGCATAGTGTTAACTCTAATGATGCATTTAATGTATTGTATTGCGTGTGTGTGTGTCTGTGTGTGCGTGTGTTTGTGTGTGTGTGCGAGTGTGAGTGCGAGAGGGTCGCTGCAAGGGTGCCCGACATTATAAACTAGTGTAAATATCAAACGATTTTCGATTCGCAACGCTGGCACACAACTGTTTACAGAACTGGGCCGAATGGCATGTTGATGGACGGGCTGGCAATCCAATATGAACACACAAATGACATTTCTATGCCAGCATTTTCCTTCCATTTGCAACACTGGAAATTCTAAAGCATTTCTTGTTGTACATTTCAATTATGGAAGAGTACAACTTTGTAAACTCAATCGCAATCGATTTGGATGGACAGATCTTTCCAACTTTGCTGTGAAAATACAAATAAAGGCTTCGAGCTATCTCGATGCTGGGTGGCGATAAATCAGTAAAGAAAATCGAAGCATTATTCATGATGGACGGCGATGAAAGGCAGCTTTATAGCAAGGGCAGTAACATATAAAAGCCCATGGCTGACAGTTGGAAACTTATATAGAACTATATAGAAGCAACTGTTAGGGTTACGACAGACCGTATAAGCAGCAAAAACGAAGTGTTATTCATGATTCGCTAAGATAGGTTGTGTTGGCAAATTGTAGCTATATTGTTACCAATTAGGAGTTTCTACAAAAGTTCAATCACTACAAAAGCATAAAGGCATACAAGCATTCGAAAATGGTAATCGCTTGCAACATACCAATAGGTAGTCGCAGAAAGATAAATAGGAACGCGTTGGAAATTGTCTGAAAAAAATGTTGAAAAAAGGAAACTTGCATACACGGCGATTTAGACTTGCTTTAAAACAGTTAACACTAAAAAGCGCCCAAAATAAGCAGCTTTCTTGTATAGAAATCAAATTAAATAATTTTCAAAAATAGCAGCCATTAAAAAGGAAAGCTGAATAGGCACCAATTGGAAGTTTATTCAAAATGGCAGTCTTAAAGAAGACGCCCAATACATTCACCAAATTAGAAGGAGATAGCTGCTCCTGAAATGGAAACTGAAAATTACAGTTCCTTTACAAATATGATCTCCTAGGGAAGGTTGCATAAAAATACATTTGCAGTTCCTCTACAGATACAAGTATGTAAAGAATTCTTGGTTCTATTCCACGATTTGAATTCAATTTTATTATCTGAATAAGAAGGGGCGCATTTCCATCTAATTAAGTTTTCTAAAAAAAAATACATTTGTAGTTCCCCTAAGACACTCAGATATGTAAAGAATTTTTGGTTCTGTTCCACAATTTTATTATCAGACTAAGAAGCGAATTTCCATTAAATTGAACTTCAGTTTTCTACAAAAAATACATTTGTAGTTCTTATAAGACGCTCAGATATTTGAAGAAATGTTGGTTCTGTTCCACGTTTAGAATCAATTTTATTATCTGAGTATAAGAAGCTGCGAATTTCCATTAAATTGAACTTCAGCTTTCTATAAATAATAACTCGCTCCTTTCCATCTTTAGTTTGCTTCGAAATTCAAATTGAATGTGGTTTCTTGTTATAAAAAGTGTCGGATTTCTAAGACAAGCTTAAGCTTTTTGAATTAATTTACAACATTTATTGTTCTGAGTTCAACTTTAGTTTTTTACAAATAATTTCATCACTTGGTCCTTGCCATCTTTAGTTTGCTTTCGAAATTCAAATTGAATGTGGTTTCTTGTTACAAAAAGTGTCGGATTTCTAAAACAAGCTTAAGGTTTTTTCATCAATTTACCAAATTTATTGTTCTTTTCAATTATTATTTGAGAGCTTAGTTGAAAATGTTTAACAATGTGAGGGAGTTTAGTTTTCAGAATTGCTTTTTATAAATATAATTCAACAGTTTAAAGGCGGCTCTCTCTATTAATTAAATTTGAAATGTCACTTTTGAGTTATTTATTGCAATTTTCAAGCTAAACCTGTTTGCAAGTGCAATTTAATATATCTTAAAAAAACCAATACTATCAAATGCCGCTAACTTATGAACTTCAAGGAAATGCATTCAAGTAATTTGTTATTTTTTCACTCTGAGATGGATGCTTGACCACCAAGTGGTATTCGGTTTTTCAATAAAGCTTGCTGTTTTTGTGTACTTTTCAGCAATTTTTGTTTACAATTTCTGAAGAACATGAAAAGCAATTGCGAGAGGGAAGATGCTTATTGAAAATTGTACTTTATTGGCGATTATGCTTTCCACTTAATATTCAGCATTTTCATATCCGCTTCACACTCAAGCGTTAATTGTTAAATCGATAGATGGATGAGATAAAGTGAAGGAATGTAAATAAATGGATGCGAATGCTTGCCGATCGAAATGATTTATATGCCATGTCATTTGTCTCCTCTGGTTGTAAACAGTGTCAGTTGAGTATTATGTATAAAGAGATGTATGTATGTGTGTGTGTGTGTGTGTGTGTGTGTGTGTGTGTGTATCGGTAAAGCACAGCAACAAATCAGTCAGATTTATTGCAAATTTTTAAGCCGTGTTATAAACCACTAGCCGAAGTGCATGTCTCTGAGCGTTTGGGCCATGCCGAATTCAATTCCACATAACTAGATACGGTTATAAAAAAAAGAAATGCAAAATATTAGGGAGAACTTTTTAAAATGCCCATAAATTAAGGTCGCATACATAATCAAACTAAAATTGAAAACAAAAACAATTATTGTGAAAAACCAAACAACTAACAAAACAGGAAAAAAAAACCCCTCAAAATAAAAACTAAACGACACTCTTTTTACATTTCAATTTTCGTTGTACGCATAAATTCCACACAATTTGTAATTCATTTTAAGTGTTTGTCATGCACATAATTACACAGCCACATACACATACACGAACATACATACATACAAACACACACAAATCAACACACATGTGTGAGACCTAAAACATTGTCGTGGAAATCGAAGTCCAGCCAAATTATATCAACTGTTTTGTTTTAATTTAGGCAATAACTGAAACTAAATACGAAAATACATACATATTATGATAAACAATAAAATAACAAGCAAACGTATGTGTGTGTGTGTGTTAGTGCCCCAACTCACAGATCTGTAACGACTAAAGCACGCATTCTGTTCTATAGATATCCTATATACTATATGTATTTAGCACACTCAGCAAAATGGAATTCGAAATTCGCCATTCAAATAAAAGCAACTTAAAGTGAAGAAAAAATAAAGATGAACAAAACTGATTCTTCAATGAATTTCTTCTTTAAAACGAATTCATCTTAAAAATGTAACTCACGCATTAGATTCCTATTCCAAGAAAGATGTTGTTCATTTTTAAAAAGCTATTTCATTTAAAAAGTTGTTCTATTTGAAACTTGTTTAAATATTTGATTTAAGCAACAAGAGCAAAGAAAAAAGTGCTACTTTTTTATTGCCAATTTTTTTTTGTTTAAAGGAATCTCTCTATTTAATTTGTTACACAGAAAATACTCTCTTATTGTTTTTTAAATTTATTTTCCTTTCAAAATATGACAATTACTTTTTTGAATCTTTTTAAATATTTCAAGAAAACCCCACCTTTAGTGGGAATGTTTAAAAGTCTAAAAGCAAAATTGTAAATACTACAAAATGTTTTTTGACAAATTTGACTTGTACTTAAAGAAAAGTTGCAAAATTTCCAAGAAATAACAAACATGCTTGCAAAACGTTTATTGTTTAAAAGGGAATTTAACTTTCATTTAAGAAACAATTTTCAACAACGAAAGTTAAGTCGAAACTAAGTTGTTTTTTTTTATGACGATTCTCTGCAAAGCCTACTTTGGACAACTCTTCTTTTTTCTGAGTGTGGATAAATATATATAGAATTACCAATAAATATTAATTTGATTTGATACTGAGTTCCCATTTCTGTTCTCGTATTTTTTTCCTTTTCTTCTCCCATTTTATGTGCACGCACAGCAAAATTTATTAGGGTGGCTGCATTCCCATGAAATATGTGCACGCACAGTTTGCTGTTTAAATCAAGTTTCGTTAACCATTATTTCTACATTTTTTTTTACTCCCCTTCGGTTATCCTGCTTTCACAGTTCTCAGCATAGGGCGCCTTAAAGAGTATGTACTTGTAGCGTAGAATTTGAAATTCGTTGTGCTGTAAGTTTCAATTGTGGTTGTCGGCGATTCTACTGTAAAAATGAAAAAAGCAAACATTAAGTACTACATATATATATAATATACAAATGCGAGTATTGTATTTACATTATATTAATTGATAACTGTACATTTAGCAATGTTTTAAGGCGGTCTTGATAAGACTTTTAATCGTTAAGCCACTGACTTGAGATAGACGTTGATAAATGATAAATGATAAATGATAAAGAACTCTTCAATTCATTTACATAACTAACTTTCAAATGAAGATAAAACCAGAAAACCAAAAACCAAAAAAAGCAACTAAAATACGTTTTGTTTTAAAATGAATGCAAAATGTTTCTCCATAATAAAATACAGTTATGGTTAAAATAAAAATAAATTGCCTTTTCCATTGGGACGGTCGGCTCAATTCATTTATTTTTATTATTTATGTATTAGCATGATAAATAACTGGAGCGCACACAAAACTTGAGAACGAAAGGTCCAACCCGGACATAGCACATTTATTAAATGAAATATCTGAAGGGGTTCTTTCTAAAACTGACGGTCATTCATTTTCTTTCTCTCTGTTTTTGTTGTTGTTGTTGTTTTTTTTTTTTTTTTTTTTTTTTTTTTTTGGGGGGGGAAATGCGGCAAATGTTGGCCAATGACTTTAATAGAAAACACTTTCTTGCAGCTTTTCAGTTAAACTGCAGCTCAAGGCTTTAAAAAATGGGTTTGTATTATACTTGAATGAAGGTCTGTAAAACTATGATATA